AATTTAAGTTAAAAGAGCTAGCCAGAAACGAGTCTAAGCTAGGCTGAGCATTTATAACTAATAAGAAGTCTCTGTGTCATGATTTGGGAGCTGGTTGGTGGCTCAAAAGAAAAAGCCTGGTACCATCCAGGGCCGTAAAGACCCCAAGAAGCAGGTTGCCTTCCTGCCCACAGCTTAGTCATTTTTGTCCCTATGCAACCCCTTTGTGTTCCTGAGTTCTGCATGTCAGAGCTTTGAGGGTGGGAGTTCCCTGTACCATCCAGGAAGATGACCCTTGAATAAACCGGATTTCCCACCCACCAGCTCTCATCTCCCAAGGACCGGCTTTGAGGAGGGGAGTAGCCTGCCCTCCTGATTTGGCGACAGAGCTGCAGAAATAAATGGAAAGTGTCATTTCCAATGACACCATATTGTTAGGTATAGAACCTAACCATAATCAAGATCAAAACTATCAAGAAGTTATGAAGGTTGTCTCTGTTAGTTGGGTAGGATTATGGATATTTGGGCCTTAAGACATAACTCTGTGGTAGAGTACTCACTCAGCACACACATGACATTGAACTTTGTATATTACTGGGAACTCGGGTGTATATGTGTATGTATATTTGCAGTAAGTAAAGATAATAAAGTTTCACAACAGGAAACAAAATTTACAGTAGGGATGGTCGTTTGATTTTGGTTTTCTCCTCACCATTCCCAATATTTGTAAACTTTGTTCCATCCTTGTCTCCAGGAAGCTTCCCTGACCAGTCCCCCGTGTCACTGGAGTCCCAGAATCCTTTGCACCTTCCCCAGCGTGGTGTTAACTACATCGTGCTTTGTGGTAACTGTGGTACTTAGAAACATGATTGAAGACCCTCTGGTGATCTTCATCAAAAGGTGGAGAGGCTGGAGAGATGGCTCAGTGACTAAGAGCACTGGCTGCTCTTCCAGAAGGACCTGGGTTTGATTCCCAGCAACCACATGGTAGCTCACAACCATCTGTAACACCAATCCCAGGAGATCCAATGCCCTCTTCCCGCCTCCTCAGGCACTGCACACAGGTGGTGCTCAAGACATATATGCAGGAAAAAACAACCATACACGTAAAAATTAAGAAAAAAAAAAGCCCTTAAAGGTGGAGCCTGAATGTGGAGGGAACAATGGTGTGACTACCATGACTCACAGGAGGAGCTGAAGGCATTGGGGTTAAGATGCAAACTCTACCCAGGACTGTCTGCTCCATGTACTATGTTGTCATCATCATGGGGGCAGCCCCCCATGTGGGGCCTTTGTCTCTGGACTTGCCCCCCCAGCCTGGTTCTTTCCAGATGATTTATGTCTTCCACCCTGTAGCTGCTGCTAAGGATTGATGGGGATTAGAAGAAAGCAATGTTTATTGAGGGTCTATATATGCCAGACCCTTGTTGCTCAAGCCTGCACTCTTCCCGTGCCTGTACAGTCCTCTAGGGTGTGCATTCTAATCTCTGGTGGGTAACTGATGTAGCTCATGGCAACCAGCAGTTGAGTTCAGGGATGTGGGATTCCATCCCCAAACACTGGTCAAGGAAGGCCTGTCTGAGGAGGTGACATTCCAGGATAAGAAGAGTTGTCCCAATGACAGGGACAGAGGCTGGGGAGCAGGGCAGAGCTCACAGGCATGTCCCCAGGGTCCCCAGGGAGCCTCTTCTTCCCCTGAAACTGGCCAGAGTGGTTTGTTCCCACCATGCCCAGCTCATTTCTTGTGACTTTAAGCAGCCTCATCTCAGGCCTCAGTTTCCCCTGTGTGAAGTGCTGGGACTGAATAGGAGACTCTTCTGGGCTTTGCAGCTTAGAGGACAGAGAAGGGCCATTGGGAGAGTGGCTCGGTGGGGATGGGAATTAGTTCTTCCTATTTCAGGTGATTTGAGGATGGTCCCAGCTAGGCGCTGTTTGCAATACTGGGAAATTCCTACAGCAATAACCTTTGGACCTCAGAGCTGCCAGCCAGTATGCCGCTGTCCCAGGTCCAGACCCTCCTGCCCCCACTGATGGCCTTTCTGGCTTAGGTCCCTGCTGACACTCCAAGATTCATCAGAGACCTGGGGGAGCACATGGTCCTGATGTTGATGCTGGTAGATCTGGGAGTCTTTTTTTCCAGCGGCCACCTACCCACATCCTCAGAAGTGGTGGTCACTCCTCACTCCTCTGTTGAGAAAGTACCCTCTCTCTCTCTCTCTCTCTCTCTCTCTCTCTTCTGTCTGTCTGTCTGTCTCTGTCTCTGTCTCTGTCTCTGTGTGTATATCTGTCTGTTTGTCTCTGTCTGTCTCTGTCTCTGTCTCTCTCTCTGTGTGTATCTGTCTGTGTCTGTCTCTGTCTGTCTGTATGTATGTGTGTGTGTGTCTGTCTGTCTGTCTGTCTGTCTCTGTCTCTCTGTCTGTCTCTCTCTCTTTGAGGCCCATGTTTGCAAATGTGTTGGCTGGAAATTCCAGGAATGGGAATTCACAGTGCTCACAGTAGGAAGTAGTAGAAGGATAAACATGATGCGAATTTTATAGTCTCTGGGCCTGAGGCTTGGCTTGTGTTCTGTGTGACTTAGTTTCCTCATCTGAACCTAGGCTCAGCCCGAGAACAGAGTGCATGAGGTCAGAGGTCAGGACACTTTTACTGGTCCACAGTCTGGTAGGGGTCATGTCTTCCTGGTTCACCCAGTGTCCACATTCCTGCGTTCCTTGGGTTTAGATACCTGGTTTTACTCTTGCTTCCAGGATCCTCATCCTGACTTGAACTTGTGAGCGAGTGCCCCACTCTGTGACAGCACCTCATTCAGGTTCCTGCCTGGACTCTGATGGTCAGCTTGGTGCCACTGAGCCTTACTTCTGGACTTGGGGACCCTTGGCGGCAGAGCTCTCAAGCCTTTCCAAAGGCTTAGCTGGTGTTTTGGGAGCAGTAATCACTGAAGACAGAAATGTAAAAATCCCAGCAACTCTGCTCTGCCAGAAGACCCAGGAGCGCCAGAGAAGGCTTGATAGAGGTGACATGGTGGCACTGCTGGATCTGCAGTGACTGGGTTTGCTAAGGAGGCTTGAAGGGCAGTGAGAGAAATGCAAAGAAGACATTTGAAGAAGGCAATCAAAGCCCAAGTCCTGGCCCATATCTACTCCCTGAGGTCCCCTCTCTCCCCCAGTGGTGGAGGTCTGGAACAGGGGCTTGAACCTGTGTTTTATGGCAGACCACCAGAGTTCATGCAAATGTAAATTCTGACTCTAACCCACTTCACACTGCTCCTGATTGGAGAACTAGGAAAAGTGAGCCCCCAGGCCCCAATCCCAGCCACTGCAGGCTCTGCCTTGCTCGTTGCTGGTTTTCACACTGGCTCCCACACTCCTGAGATTGTGGGCTCCTCTTGGAAAACAATGATGTTAAGGACACCACAGTGCTGCCTCTCTGTGGGCTTTGGAGTATGGGAATATTTGGGACTAGGGAGTCGACCCCTTCCTAGCCCAGTATGTGTGAGCACACACTCTGATACACACACACACACACACACACACACACACACACACACACACTGCACATGTGCAAACCTTGAGTCACACCAATTTATAAAGTTATACCAATAACACCAGATGATTTCTTTGCATTGAAGATTGTGTCACATGTGAGGGGTATTGGGAGGTCCTGGAACAGAGATGGCCACACCCAACACATAGCCCTTACAGGAAGAGGCAGTGGGACCCTGGGGCGTCAGCAGTGGGTCTGTGTGATAGCAGTGACGACTGGAGAACCTGTCAGCAGCCTCCCTGGTAAGTGTTCCTGGTGTTCCATCTCACACTGTGCCTTCTTACTCTCTGAGCCTCCCTGACTGCTCTCTGATTCTAAGTCGGATCCTCCACTAGCCATCAGCAAATAGAAGCAGGTGCACTTTCCTGGTGGACAAATTAGAGGAAGAACTTTTGTTTCCTGAGTCTTGTACCTTTTTACAGTGTGTAACCTAGGAAACTGAAGACAGAACTCCTTCCTTCTACATGCCAACACCCCTGCTCCCCGCCCCCCAGACAGCTTTGACATCTGGAAGGAACAGAAGGTACATGGGCTCTGAGGAGGATTCCTAGGCAGGAGCCTAGGAATCCCAGCTTTGCTACAAGTGGGGCTTGTGATTGGCAGTGACCCAATTGGAAAGACATGAATGAGTCCCAGAATGAGGGAGATGGAATGAGGGAGACTGAATGGGATCTTCCCGGGCCAGGGTGACCCTGTGGGTTTGGGCAAGTGGCCCTGGAACCTCAGCCTCCATGTAACAGAGTCATGATGCCAGCAGGTGTGTGCATCCTTCTTTAGGAAGACGCCTCTCCTATTTTCCTCCCGGCAAACACTTCTGTCATTGCCATCATCAGACCCCTCCTTCCGGTCTCTCTATTCCACTTCTGCCTTTCCAAAGCTTTCAGATACCACTGAAATAGCATTTTAAAAACGAAACTGATCATGGCACCCAGGCCCCACCTATTGCTTCAACCTTTAGATGCGTTGTTGTTGTTTATTATCCTGGTCTCAGACCAAAGGTCCCCAGTCCAGAGAGGCCTTGGGGTCACTTGATCCGTATAAATTGCATCTAACAGGCTTGGGCAGTCCCATCAGATGTCTCAAGGAAGTGAAAGTCCCAAAGCCCCCAGAAGGATCCAACACCAGTCCAGTCCAGTCCTGGAGAACCTGGGACGGATGGCTTCTACCCTAGGGCCTGGAGATCATGACCACCAGCTTTTTGGTCACGTGCTCAACAGCGCCACCATGTGGTAGTAAGGAACAACCGTCTCAGCATGGGCTGCAGGAAGACAATAAGCTGTTCAGGAGTGCCGCAAAACAGCGACACCATGTGGTAATGGCGGGAACAATAGCCCAGCAGATAGATATACCACCTCTCAAAATTGCAGGACCCTAGAAAACCAGACTCATCCCTTCCAATTAAGAAAGCCCCAAGGACACTTGCAACAGCCGGAGTTTGTGCTAAAGTGTAAGGCACTCAAGAGTACACGCGCAGGCCATACTGGCTACAGCCAGTGAGTGTATTAATGGACAGACAAGAAGCCACACCAGCACACACAATACTCAGGGGAAGAAAAAAAAAATAGGTGTTTTTGCAAAGCCCAAAGTAATGTCACAGTTCCAGCAGAGATGCCAATGCTGGAGGGCCTGCGCTGAAAGAGGCATGGAGCCCTGGCATACAAACCTTCCTCTTTTTCTGTGCTCAACTTCCACTGGCTTGGGTTATTTTTAGAGCTGAGCTTGGGGAAGTGAGCAGGGGCTGGGGGGCAGGGCCAAAGACGAAAGGATTCCTGGAGCAGGCTGTCCTGTGAGTGCAGTGGCCCCCTTGGGAGCGGCTGCAGAGCTCCCAGGCCCAGAGTCTGCGGTGATCTCTCAGCTCCGGTGGACATCTGCTCCAAGCACCAGGAAATTCTAGGGAGAGACAGACACCATTAGCTGAAGTGTACCCTGGCTGCTGGGTTTTGATTTTAAGAAGGCAACCTAGCTGGGAAACTCTGTCTCAATATACAAAGGTAGAGAGTGATGGATGAAGACACTCCGTGTCACCCTCCACTTCCATGGGTGTGTGTGAGCACATGTGTTCACATGCATATATACGAGCATCCATACACATTCAAACACACAGTGTGCAAGGCGCACACACATATATGCATTTAAGAAAAGAAAATTTGGGGGCCTGGTTAAGATGGGGGCAGGGTAAGGCCAGTCTGCTTGAGAAAGGCAGGAGGTAGTGGGACCCTAGGGCGTCAGCAGTGGGTCTGTGTGATAGCAGTGACCACTGGAGAACCTGTCAGCAGCCTCCCTGGTAGGTGTTCCTGGCCACCTTGGGGACCTCTGTGTGTCATCTCTGCTGCAGCAGCTCACAAGACTTGGTTCCAGTCAAGGCTGAAAAATGACTTTGCCCTGAGTGTCCTCCCCTCGGTTTCTAAGTGAAGAAATTAAATTTTGCCACGGGGTCCTTTTTTTATGACCTTGAAAAAATTCAGGATCAGAGATGCTGGGAAGGTGGGGACAGAGTCCTCTGCTCTGTCGCCTGTTGTTTCCCCTGTCTCATCTTCAGTGGCTCCCTGGTCTAAAGAGCCAGGATTGACTGCCACCAGGCACTAGAGAGAGGAACTTGGTGACATAGGACTTTCTCATAAGGGCCAAGTGTCAGCAAAGCAAGCTGTCAACAGAGGTGGGAACTTGGGACCGGGTGGGGGCTTCCCTGTGGGGTTATGGGTTTATTGGGATGTGTAGGTATGAAGAGGCTGTGGAGTATAGACACTGAGGAAGGGAGATGGCCGACATGTACAGTACAGAGGAAGGCTGGTCCCCTGGCTGGGAAGCTGGATGGTACAGGGGTGGCTGCTGAGCTTGAGGAGTTGCTGAGAGTGACCAAGAATGCCAGTAATATGGGAGAAAGATGCCCGGGAAGGAAGGCTGGGATTGCTGGTCTTCAGGGAGGGGACAGAACAAGAAAGGCAGTTGAGGGAAAGGACCCAGGAGCCCAGGGTCCTGGAAACTCAGAGGAAGGTATGCAAACCTCAGGGTGTCACATACCTGCAGGACAGATTCAGAGAGAGCTCTGTATGTAAATGTACCAGGATGATGCTGGTACATCAGCAGCATACTCCATGCTTTAGGCGATAGTTTCCTGTGAAAGACTACACTTCCCAGCTTCCCTTTCTGACTATAGAAGTCATTTCCACCCCTACAGGAGGCTGCATCCCATCTTCTCCTATAGGCATTTTGACCATCCACACATGTGGTGACAAAGACACCCCCTATCTACGCATGAACATGGTTCCACCTCAGGTCAGACCAAGCCTCTCTTTCTTCTACCCCCCGCACCCCCCCCCCCTGGCCCAAGCA